GATCCAATAACAGATTGGTGTTTCACTTTGTTCGGCGATTTTTTTGCATTTCGTATTCATCGGCGAAGAGTCAATACGTTGTTTTTATGCTCACGGGTTCAACTGTGATTTATATCTTTACTTTGATTCTTTATCTTTGAACTATTGACTATGACCTGAAAATTACATCGCTATATTCGCTCATTTTTTCGAAAATGTGATAAAACTCCAAAAATCACTTCCAAAATTATGTAACGTTACTGACGACTTTAAACATTTTTATCTCCGTGATCACAAGTGATAAACAAAAATTTAAAACTTGTAATTATTGGTCTAGGAGAGCTTTAACATATGCACTCAAGAAGCTATGAGTTTTAAATATTTTTTGAAGAGACATGAGCAAAAATGTGCGTACGAACCTAACGTTACTGACGATGGCCGTGTCCATATATACTTTTATATGTAAATTCGTTCGCTTAGCGAATTATAGGCATGGTTACCAAAATGAAACAGTCGAGACACACACACAAACAGTAAGTATACAAATTGTCGAGTGTGCGTCTGTACTACTTTAGGTTTGTGTTTATGCTCATTCAACAATTGTCAATGCATGTAATTCATAAATAAATTTATTTTTTCTCATTTATTTTTTCTTTTCGTACTTTTTTTTACAAAATATAAATAAAAAAATAAAAAATAAACACTAAGAAAATTTTTGTGCACAAAATTCGATCTTGTTGTCGAAATGAAACTTTCATTCCATTCCGAACAACACAACCACACAGCTTTTTTTATCTGCACAGTCTGAAATTCGCCATTTAATGGCTGACTGCTGCTTGTCAATGTCATTGTCATTCTTTCGTTCGTTCTTTTGCTCGGTATACACACGCATACACGCATACATATGCACACCGCTGGAATGCATACTTTTTTCATTTACTTGCGTCAAACGACAGGCGTGGAAAATAAAATTCGAAGAACATTCATAAAAGAAATTATCAACGCTAAATAGGTTAAAGTTACATTTGATTGAGGAATTCAAAATTTTGGTGGAAAGACATACTTTAAACATGCCGCGAATTATGATTAAGGGTGGTGTTTGGAGGAACACTGAAGTAAGTAGAAATATTATATGGAAATAGGGTATATAGCGTTGGAAATAAAACATATAATATAAAATATACCTAACCCTATTTTTAGGATGAAATATTAAAGGCAGCAGTTATGAAATATGGGAAAAATCAATGGTCCCGTATAGCATCATTGCTTCACAGAAAGTCAGCTAAACAATGTAAAGCACGTTGGTATGAATGGCTGGATCCGAGTATTAAAAAAACAGAATGGTCAAGAGAGGAAGATGAACGATTACTTCACTTGGCCAAATTAATGCCAACACAATGGCGAACTATTGCACCAATTATCGGTAGAACTGCAGCACAATGTTTAGACCGATATGAATACCTGCTGTATGCTATTGTTTTAATCTTTGTATTTTATACTCAAATTCATAATATAACAATAACATGGTAATAATGGTTACGTTCTGCATTTTTAGAGACCAGGCTCAGAGAAAAGAAGAAGGAGAAGATATAGCCGACGATCCTCGCAAATTGAAACCTGGGGAAATTGATCCAAACCCAGAGACTAAACCGGCGAGACCTGATCCAAAAGATATGGATGAAGATGAGCTGGAGATGCTGTCTGAAGCAAGAGCTCGTTTAGCGAATACACAAGGTAAAAAAGCAAAACGAAAAGCGCGAGAAAAACAATTGGAAGAAGCCAGACGTTTGGCTTCATTACAAAAGAGAAGAGAATTACGTGCGGTAGGTGACTTTTTTGTAATGTGATATTTCCAAGTAATGCAGCTCGCATTTCTTCAAATTACTAAATAGGCTGGCATTGGTGGTGGCAATCGTCGCAAAATAAAAGGCATAGACTACAATGCTGAGATACCTTTTGAAAAAAATCCTGTCTCCGGATTCTACGATACTTCTGAAGAGCATGTTGAAAAAATTGAATTTAATTTCAACAAAATTCGTCAACAAGATCTAGATGGCGAGTTGCGTACGGAAAAAGAAGAGGTAAGTAATTATACAACCAAATTCGGAAATATAAAATATGATCATTCTATTGAAATTATATGTCTTTCAGCGAGAACGAAAAAAAGATAAAGCCAAATTGAAATTAAAAAAGGAAAATGGCTTTCCCAACTCGCTCATTAATTTTATAGAACCAGCTCGGAAACGCTCGAAATTAGTACTACCAAGCCCACAAATATCTGATCAAGACATGCATCACGTCATCAAACTTGGAAAGGCAAGTGAAACTGCAAAAGAGTTTGCATTGGAAAGTGGCATTGAAACGACTGATGCTCTGTTGGGTGACTATAGCATTACTCCACAAGTAACAGCGACACCTCGTACACCAGCAATGATAACTGATCGAGTGATGCTGGAAGCACAAACAATTATGGCATTAACACATGTTGAAACTCCACTGAAAGGAGGGGTAAACACTCCGTTGCACAAAACTGACTTTTCTGCAATCATGCCAAAGTCTCAAGTGCCTACTACACCAAATACGCTGCTAGTAACCCCATTCCGATCAACAACAAGTGTGGATACAGATGGATGTCAAATGACAACGGAACACAAAAAGCATGACAATGATCAAGCTGTTACACCTTCTTTAGCACGAGATAAATTGAAAATAAACAATGAAGAACTTATTTCCGAAACACCAATAGCAACGAAAGAATATCAGAAGCAAATCAAAGAATCGCTCCAAGAGAAGCTTTCTTCTTTACCTCTACCAAGAAATGACTATGAAATCGTTGTGCCAGAAGAAAATACGGAAAAAGAGAAGAACAATGTAGCAGCTCCAGTTGTAGACGATCAGTCTGATGTTGATTTCAGAATAATAGAAGAAGAACAATCATTAAAAAAAACCGAATTGATTCACCGTTCTCAGGTCATACAGAAAAATCTTCCTCGACCAATTGAAATCAATACAACAATTTTACGCCCACCAACTGACATGATAGGTTTAACTGATCTACAAAGAGCAGAGGAACTGATTAAACAGGAAATGATTACAATGCTTCATTACGATGCAATGTTAAATCCAGTCGCATACAGGACAAATGCTCCTACTAAAAAAACTTTCTCGGCACAACAATTACAATCTTACTTGGAACAAAATCCATACGATGAATTTGAAAACGAGGAATTGAGAAATTCAAAAGATTCCCTTAATGCAGAAATGGTTGTTGTTAAGAACGGAATGGCACACGGTGATCTTTCTCTCGAAAATTACTCTCAAGTATGGCAAGAGTGTTTGAGTCAAGTTCTATACTTGCCAAGTCAGAATCGATACACAAGAGCGAATTTAGCAAGTAAAAAGGATCGTTTTGAAGCAGCTGAACGTAGACTTGAACAGAATCGCAAACATATGGCAAAAGAAGCAAAGCGTTGCGGAAAAATTGAGAAGAAAATGAAAATTCTGACTGGAGGATACCAAGTAAGTCTGATTTTAATTTAATTTAATCTGTGAAATAACAAATAGCAATTTTTTTCTTTTGAAAAGGCTCGTGCTCAGGCAATTATCAAGCAATTGAATGAAGCATGGGAGCAGATAGATCAACATGCTTTGGCACTATCAACATTTAAATTTCTGGCAAACCAGGAAAATACGGCAATTCCACGTCGAATGGAGACACTGACCGAAGATGTAATGCGTCAAATGGAACGGGAAAAACATCTACAAGCCAAATTTGCAGAACTGCAATCATCTATGGAACTTACAAATTGATTAATGATTTACTTAAAAAATCCTTGAATTGATGATTTACTTTCTTAATACATCAAAAAATAAAGAAAATTTTACATCTTTTACATCGTTCGAATTTGTAAAACCATTTCCATTTTCACTGCCATAATCTTCGCAAGCATGATTTTCATGTGTGGTTATATCAAAAAGCTTTACCATATAAAATTTACGCCATGATTTAAATTTTCACCAAATTCTACATTGAAATAACGTGGGAAAATAAACATCATCAGTTCGCTTTCGATACGCGAAATGACTTTAAAAGAAGTTATTCATCATTTGATATCAGTTGTTCTGTAAGATACGGGATAGTCTAGTCGGGAGCATTACTGTCGATTATCGGATAATGTCACATACACACGAAAAAGACAATTTTATTTTCCGTTAAATGACTGAGAAAAATTTCCTTCGTTTTATTTGTTTCGAATTAATTTTGAAAACTTCTCTATGGCTAACGATAAATAACTTTTGTATTATGGCGACAGCATCATGCATGTAACGCAAAAGAAAACGTTGCCTAGAGACTGATTGCAATGTGCCACATTTATACTGTTTCAACTAACACAGGTGCGCACTCGCTATAGCTCGCGCTATGCACTATGTGCATGATTCTCGGTTTCTATATACGTATATATATGTGTATATGTATATGTCTCCAGGTGGCATGTTGTTTTCAATAAAAAATGTTGATATTCACATTAATGTGAATATGGCTTTATATTTTGATGCATGTCAGTCGTGTCGTTTACGTAGCACACATTCCAGATTTGAAATGAATTATTCTTAGTTTAATGGTGCCTGATGAAAAAATCCAAATTTTTTATAATTTCTAGTGAGGAAAAGACTTATAAGATTATATCTTTGAAACTAAAACTGAATCAGAATGCGTCAAAATTAAGTGTGTGTTCACATAAATCAAAGTGAATAAGAATTAAAATTCACATTTTTGCTAGATTGTGGCAATCGAAGTACGGAACTCTTATATATTCTAGATGTCAAGTATCATCATTTCCCATACATTATCTATCAATTAAATTAATAGGAAAAATCGCATCCAACACTACGGATAAGATTGAGAGAACAGCATGTGTTTTACATTTTTAAGAAGGTGAATCTTAATTACCATTTACGTATGTTACCATCACAGTCATTTGAAATAGTAACAAACTGATAGTACTCATTATAGTAATTTGAATCGAGTGTACTCAATTATGAATTTGCAAATCCTCGCATTTCGGATAATCTACGAGAAGCCCGCTACTACATGCATGACATACGTAGCCAAAATCATATTATTTATTTATTTATTTATTTCACACCGCCAAAAACTGGCTGAATATTTTGGTTTTCAGGAAAACGACTCCAAGAGTCGTGAAAAACCTGATCTTTTCGTGTTTGTACAATATAGGGTATTTTCATACAATAGATAGTTATAGCAGTCTTTCTCGATTTGAATTTAGGGTTTGGTCTATAAAATTTAACACAAAGAAACCTAACCAATACAAGGAAATGAGTAGTAAGCCGAATCGTCAACGGTTCAGATAATCTAACAACGCGTTTAAGAAAAGATAGACTAACTGGAGCGCTAAACATATTTTTGTCGGCCTTAATGACTGCAAAAGTCTTCTTTCAATTTATCAGAGAAGTGATATATTGAAGAAAAGTTTTACGTCTAGTCTAACAAGTCCCTGTTGGTAGATATAAATTTACGATTTAGTAGAGACCGAAAGACATAAAAAAGTATTCTGATTTTCGCAAATACATTGACACAAACGGTAGTTTCCATTATGAAGTAATAACAGGTCAAAGCTAATCACCAACTCAGAGGATGGCTATATCACAGTCAATGTTGCCACTTATTTTAAAGTTTGAGTAAAAATCACGGATAAATATCATTATTTCTATACATTTTGTAGGGATGTAAGATAACAATTTGTCAATATTTTATATTAAATTTTTGGTTTTGTTCGCTGCGTATCGACGAGATGAAATTTGCACGGCTGATTGAGTTATTGAATTGTTCAGCCACTTTGTTTGCAAACTTGCATATTTGAGGCACTTGAGCTCTGATTTGTTTGTCCATGAGCCTATTTTTAATCTTTAGGTAGTCTGTGTGCCTTAACCTACGTGCGCTCCCTCCAATTGCGATGTCATTGCGTACATTGGGACAATTTGCGATCCCATTCACGATGTTACATGAATACAATAGATGCATTCACTCTCCTACGCTCCAACGATGTCATGTTCAACGCTTCAAGTCGCTTGTTGTAGTCGGTGATACTGTAGCCGTTAGCCGCCGTACGGTACTCTCTTCGGGCGAACTGGGTGAACTTTCTCAACACGCTCTCAATTTTGTCGATATGCACGGTATAAGTTGGTAGCCATACAACATTGCAGTACTCAAGATGAGACTGAACCAGTGCGTAGTATAGTGTTTTGAGCGTTTGAACGTCGGTTATGTCGTAACAAAATCTTTTGATGAATCCCAAGGCTGCTGTAGCTCTCGAGGTGACCGCGTCAATGTGCTTTATAAAGCTAAGCTTTTGGTCAATGATGACGCCGAGATCTTTGTGGTCCAGTACGCGCTTGAAGGTAAAATCACCGTATTTATAATTAGTGTCGATGATGTCCTTCCTTTTTGTGGTGATTGTAAGGACTGCACATTTGTCAAGGTTCAGGTGCAAATTGTTCACGTCGCACCAAACCTTTAGTTTGTCGATGGCTCGCTGTAACGCTTCCGCATCCGTGCTCGAGTGGATGATTTTGGCGATTTTTACATCATCGGCGAACAAGGAAATGAACACGTCGTCCATTTCGTCCACTATGTCGTTGATGAACAACAGGAATAGTGTGGGTCCGAGATGACTATCCTGTGGTACGCCAGATGATACGTTGAATTCGTTAGACTCGCTGCTCCCATACTTAACGAATTGCGTTCTCTTGGACAGGTATGATTCGATCCAAGCAAGAAGATTGTCTGGCAGGTTGAACGATCTGAGTTTCAGAATCAATCTCTTGTGGTTTACTCTGTCAAACGCTTTACTGAAGTCCGTGTAGAGAACGTCCACTTGCGCACCTGAATTTATGCCTCTCTGGGCATAGTAGGTAAATTCGGTGAGATTAGATGCAGTGGATCTGGACTTCATGAAGCCGTGTTGCTTTTTGGTGATTTTGTCCTCTACCAGAGGTTGGCCTGTTCGGTTTCGTTTGCTGTGCGCACATCACCAAATTGCATGACTTTTGGTTTGTTGTCGGTGCTCTTCTTTGAATTGACATATTGCCAAAATCTCGAAGCGTCATGCTTGAGCGAGGATTCCATTTTCTCCACGTATGTGTTGTAGAGTTCCGTGTTGAGTTTATCGAATTCACGAGACGCCAAAATGTATTTCCATTCAAACGACTGATGATATCCTGATCGTCTGGAGCGTTTCCATGCCTTATTTTTCCTATTTTTTAGTGTTATTAGGAATTTATTTTTCCATGGACATTTTTGTATCGACTTGACGATGTAAGTAGGCACAAATTTGATGATTGCATCGTCCAAAGTCTTGTGCAGCAAGTTCACCTTCTCGATGATTGTCTTTCCATGGAATAATTCGGTGAAGTTAATATTTGCAAAGTGTGCATTCATGTCCTTATAGTTGGCACGCTTGAAATTGAATGCTTTTGTTTTGATGTTGGCCTCGGTTGTATTGTTTCCATGCCACTCAAATGTGGCTAATATCGGTGGATGATGATCTTCCACTTCCGTCAGTGCGTTAACTTCATTTACACGCTCAATCGAAATGTTGGTGAAATCATTAGTAAAGAACAAGTCCAACAGTCGTTCTTTTGAATCATTACGTACATGATTTACCTGATGAACTCCCATGCTCATGAGTCCCTGAATGAAAGTGGCCGTGTACTCCGGTGCAAATTTAGTTGGAATCATGATGTTGTCATCGTCGCTATCGATTGACCATTCAATATGCGGCAGATTAAAATCACCAACAAAAATAACAACATCTTCAGGATCGGTAGCGATTTTGTGCATGGCTGTTAAATGTGATTCGTAGACTGTTTGCGGTGAATTTGGTGGAATGTATGCACAGTAGATATAGATGACATGTGATTTAGTAGTAGCTTTCACACAAACGTATTCCAAATCGTCAGCACCGGAAATTATTATCTCTTCACTGGCGAATTTGTCATTTTTGGTTGCAATTAGTACACCACCGCCGCGTTGAAAAAGTCTATCCTTACGATAAACAGAATATGAATCGTCAAAAAATTCAGCATCATAAATATCATTTCTCAGCCACTTTAAGGAGATTAAAATCTCCTTTATACACAAAGTTTTTTGTGGCCAAATATCATCGATGAAACATTTTAGAAAAAATCAACGTTGGAGATTACAATATTATTATAACAAGGGCTACTACATATTATCAAAGCCTACTATATAATACACGCACCACGCCATTAAATTTGAATCAGCCAAATCTGATATTCAGTTTGCTAGTTACAGATGTTTAATCTGTTATCAATTCCAATTATCAAATCCATGTTGGTTTCGTAAACAGTCATTAGATATAGAGAGATTGAATTTATACCAACGGGGTGACAACTTTTGACAGTTCTTATTTAATTCCATACATTTGCGGTGTCGACGCGCCATCTACAGTTGGAAAAGTGCATATTCATATAGGTTGATGTAGAAATGTCGTACCAAAATGGGGAATTGATTTATCAAAATGGGGAAATGATTTGAATGGGTGACAATAATCGTGGCCCGCCAATCTCCCATAAAATAAAACCGAAACATAAAGTTGGTTTGAAATAATAGTGAAACAAAGAACGCGTATAAAATAAAACTGCAACATATACTTTGGCATTTTCGGTATCTTATTAGTGGTCTTATTACTTATTAGTCTAATAAGATGAACCTATATTTATTTATTTATTTATTTCACACCGCCAAAAACTGGCTGAATATTTTGGTTTGCAGGAAAACGACTCCAAGAGTCGTGAAAAACCTGATCTTTTTGTGTTTGTACAATATATGGTAATTTTATACAATAAATAG